TCTGTTGAACAGACAGTCTGTCTGTCTGTCTGTATGGATGACGTGCTCCCACACATGGCTCCCGAAATGGACCTGTCCAGCAGGTGGTGACAGTCTCTACCGACAGGTAATCACCAAGGTCGATTAAGCTCATGAAGTAGGGGTGAGTGTTCAGAATTCTGCGAATCTCATCACACACCTCTCGCCTGCCATACCCTCGCACTCCAGTTGTTGCCCCTATCTTATGTGTTGACACACACACAATCACACACACACACACACACACACACACACACACATGTTGTTGGACGCCGCCCTGAAGTTGGCTACTGCGTGCCAGAATCTGTTAAACGATAACCCTTGCAACAGTGAATGGCCCGCAGTAGCCAACCTCGGCACAGAGGCCGAGACACACAAGCGCGCGCGCACACACACACACACAAACACACACACACACACACACACACACACACACACAAACACACACACACACACACACACACACACAAACACACACACACACAAACATGTCGATGACGTTTTTGTGCGTTTCCGCTGGCAAAGAGAAGAGGTCGAAAGACAAAGCTTGTGCATCATGTCGATGTCGGTAGCACAGGTGGCGAAGGCTCTCACAGAGGTGATGAAGTATGCAGAGGAGGGCTTCCACTACAACGGCCGTGGCGAGTTGTCTTTGTTGGAGGAGAGGGTGCCGGGGTACTTTGCTGTTAGCGTGGATATGAGATCCACGATCATGGCCAACGGCAGTGGTTGTGTGCAGGCACGAACACTCTTGGAACGATTGAGAGAGTCACCTGATGTTCGTGTGGACAGCGACGCGGAAGACAACCCATACAGTCTAAAAGGAGTTGTGCAGTGGATGTGCAGCGAAGGCATGTGCGACGAAGGACTTGTCGACATGACAATGCAGCAGAAAGGGGGGACCTGTACACCTGTGGCTTTCAGGAAGTTTATGGTGAGTGTGGCGAAGGGATGGGACATGCTTGTTGAAGGGGCGAACGACGAGTTGAAGAGGGGTGCTGCAGAAATACTAGTGCTGTCCAGAATCAAGGACATGACACAAACACCGCCCCAAGACTTTCAAGAGTTTCCCGTGATTGTTGCAGACGGTGTGGAATACGTTCTGCTTGATCAACTATGTGACCTCATGAACAAGACAAAGGATGACAGGAACGTCATTCATGAGGCCTTGCACGAAGTCACAGAGTACGCCGTGCAGGGTCGAGATCTCATTGATTTTTTGCTTGCGTCAGCAGGAGAGGAGATCATTAGTGGCAGGCCATTGTGGGGACATCGCAGGTTGCAAGACCAAGTTGCTCCAGAGCACAACCCAACAAGGGGTTGGAGGCTGATTGTCAGCGAAACAAGGTTACCGGTCATTGAAGAAACCGGGGAGACATCAACAGCACAAGATACGAGTGGGACGATGGTGGTCGACGTGTCTACCATGCACATATCAACGACAGAGGACTTGGTGTATATGGATATGTGTGAGGGTTTCTTCTTAGGGGAACAACAGTTGGCAGAGCGCAGAGACGATGCAGAGCACAGAGATGATGCAGAAGAGGAGGAGGAGGAAGAGTACGAGGGGTCTGACGTAGAGGTGAGCGGCAGCGACGTCAGCAGCGACGAAGAGGACGACGACAATGATGTGTACTATGATCTCAAGACGGCTTGTGGACAAGTAACCAAAGGTGGGGCACAAGCAATCCTCAGGTTGGCACGAGTATTTCCCGATCCGCACAACGTGCTGCGTGTGGTGTTCAAGGGGGCGACACCTGATGGCGCAATGCAGTATGCTGCAGTGACCAGCATAATGCAATTCTGCAACAAGGGAAAAAAATGGTCACGTGTCGGCAAGGGATGGTTTGTTCTGGTGAACAGAGAGGCTGTGCTAGCAACATCGCTGACATGGGGACTGAACCTGAGCTGTGGCCACAGCTTGGGGAGAGACTTTGCACCTCGGCTTGTCAACAGGGGACGCAATAGTTAGTGCTCGGTCACGGCACCACACACACCCACACCCAAACAATACGACAGACCACGTCAGACATCAGGGATGATGCCACACATGCATAGCACATGGCATTACAGTTGTTGTACAAACAAACTGTGTGAGTGTGTCTACACATAGATTGTTCAACCTGTACATCCCTCACCTTGTACATCCCTCTCCCACCCCCTCAGTTTGAACAACCCTCGGGTTGACTACTGTGTGCCATATTCGTGTTCACCGGTGTTCTCTGTCGGAGTATAGGGCCGGACTAGTCTCTCTCTCTCTCTCTCTCTCTCTCTCTCTCTCTCTCTCTCTCTCTCTCTC